GATTAAAAAAAAATTCTAAGGGTAACATTATCCAACTCAGCAGGATCAGAGAATTAAAAATATCTTGATAGGGGCCAGCAGGTGGCATAGTGGTTATGGCTCTAGACTCCCACAAGGCTAACCACAGTTTGAGACATAGACCTGGGAGCTTGAAATCATGCCAGGTGTGTGTGCATGCATGCCCAAAATCCCAGCAGGAGAATGAAGAAGGCGTTGCAGTTATGTCATCCCCAGGAGTGGTTTCTCACTTTCCCTCTCATTGTCTCTCTCTGGCAAATGCATGCACTTCATGGCAGAACCCTTAAAAAAAAAGAGAGAAAAAAATTCTTGATAAACAAGTAAGGAAATGAAAGTGAGTTTTTGGATCATACTACAAAAGATACTTCACTCTGGGCACCAAAAACCTTGAAGACAGAGAGGGTTTCAATGGAACAAGCAGACATTACACAACAATTCATTCCACTGAAATTGGAGCTCGCTAAAAATATATAAAACAAGTGTGGTTGGTATACAAGTATGTACCCCTCAAAACAGACCTATAAATCACAGATCTGACTGGTAAATTATGCATCTGCAAGCATTTATCTCCACTTCTTACAAAAAATCTAATAAAATTCAAATACAGGTACAAAAAGTATAAGCAAACACGGAAAGCATACAGAAGAGAAATAATACAAGACATATGATTTGATTAAATCTGCGGGGAAGGAGAGAGCGTACAAACTGGATAGAATAGTGGCAACCAATTATCAGAGAAGAAAAATCTGAGAAACATGGCTCCAAGTGAACCTATGTCAGGAACTAGGGGTAAATGGGGTTGGGGACAGTAACTGCCATGAAGGGTTTGATAAAAACAGAAAACTGGCTAACTATATGAAAAGCTGTGAGACCCCCTAGGTCCTTTCCAAGCTTGAATAAGGCAAATGACTAACCCTATGCTACCCTAACATGGACAGTTAGTTTAGTTTCTGAAAATACTAAACCAGGAGCATTTTGGACTCTGGACCACTAGTTAATGCAAAATGCTCTTATTAGTCCACATACTGAATGGTGGAGCCCCAAAGTCTATTTCTACATTCTGTTCTAAAAATGTTGGCAAAAAACTGCTTTACCCCATAGACAGCAGATTGCAGGATTCTTCTCTAGATAAAAATGGACTGTTCCAAAAGAAAGACCTATTGAAACTGACATTTGGGCATTCCCTCAATGAAAGAACCAACTGTATTCTATAACTGAGTTCAACGAACAGCAAACCCTGGGCTCACACCCAAACTGTCAATCAACTCTTCAGTACTTTTTCTTAAATATAAATAATCAGTGAAGATCACCATTAACTTGAGGAAGACCTCAAATGAGAAAGACTGAAACTAAAATAACAGAAAAAATGAGCTCAGAAGAAACAATAGAGCAGAAGAAAAATTTAGAACACCTATATTTAATTCCTGAGAGACTAGATACCATGTCCATGAAATAAAAAATAGAATTCTAAGGAAGGAATAATTAAAGAATACAAAGGTCCTCAAAATTTAAAAACATGAAAGCAGTTTATTTTTTTTCCAATTCAACACAAGGACTAGCCATCAAAGAACTTCTCCAGAAAAGTGTCAGAGAGAGAGAAAATTAGGAGGAAAAAAAGATATCATAATAAGAGGATCAATCCAGAAAACCCAACAACCAATTAACAGACAGAAACACAAAGAAAAAGGAAAAAAGTAATCAAAGACATTACACCAAATGAGCATGATAACCTGTTTAGAAGAGAGGAATATGAATTTATTAGTGGGATGGTAAGAGTCCACTGAGTGTCTAGCACAAGGAATGAAAAAGCTCACCTGAGAAGACTTCATTGTAAAATTTCAGAACAGAGATAAAAGGCAAGGGCAAGATCTTAAAAGCTTCCAAAGAGTAAAGAATCAGAACTCAGAAAAGAGACTTCTCAATGGCAAAACAAAGAAAGATAAAAGAAAATGGAGCAATAATCTCAAATTTATGAGAGAAAATATGCAATTTTCCAACATGAACATCTAAGTTACATTACCAATGGCTATCATAACAAACTGCCACAAACTAGGTAGCTTAAAACAGCAACAACTGACTATCTCACAAGTCCCTAACATCTGGCAAGGTCTCACTCACTCTACAGGCTCCAGGGCAGAATGCATTCTCATCTCCTCCAGCTTCTGGTGGTTAGACCTTGCTACTCTTTTAACTTGGAGCCATATCACTCCAACCTGACCTTTAAGATCACAATGCCAGTTTTGCTTTTTTGTCAGATCTCTTTTGTGTTTCAATGGATTTAGGGCCAAACCAAATAATGCAGGAAAAGCTCAAGAGCCTTACCTTAGTAACACCTGCAAAAACCCTTTTCCTAAATAAGGCACATACAATGGTTCCAAGAATTAGGACATAGACATATTTTCAGAACCACATATTAGAATAACATATCATAAATAGATATCCATACCCTTTGCAGAGAACTATGATAATCAGATCATCACCAAAACACAGGAGAAAGCGGTAAGAAAACATTTATTGCAATTGACAGAAGCAACACCATAGGAAAGAGGTAAAGAGAACTCTCAGAGAAGGAACAAAGCAATATTGCAAAAAGTGCAACAGCAGGTAAGGAAGCAGCAGTTCAGATTACAGCAGGATGCCCATAAAGAAAATACTACTGAAAGGGTTTAACAGTTATTTGGAAAAATGTAGAAAGACTAGGGCACAGAACACTAAGTAAACAAAAGAGGCAAGAGTTAATTCCAGAAAAATAAGAATTGTAAGAACTTAAGTTGAAGAAAGTACTATTGCACAATGACAATATTTACACTAAATATCAATATAGTCAAAAATATTAATATACCAGGTAGAAAAGATAGAATGTGGAGAAGTATGCATGTGAAGCAAAGTTAAGAAAAGCAATTCTTCATCTTCCATAAAAGATAACATCAAGTAATGATAAAGAGTATAAATATCATCTTAAAATTTTATTAATTAGGGATAAATATCAGAAGAATTATCTATGGGTTGAAAAGAGTTTACCTTGGGAATGAAAGGGTAAAAGAAGAGTACAGAGGGATGGGGAAGGGTTGTGGTAATTTCATTTTATTGTAAGTTCACTTTTAATACAGTTCTCCTATTGCTTTGATAATATAATTTTAAAACTGTAAAAGAGTAAAAAAGTCTCAGAAAAATAACTTGTTCAGACTATAATTCAGTTCAGAAATATTTATAACACTATCTTAAACGTTTTTATCCCTTCAAGAGATTTCTATAAAAATTCTTTTTCTTTTTTTTTAAAACATTTTGCCTTAGGACATGTGTGCTCATCAGAGAGAGACAGTGAGAGGGAAAGTGAGAAATCAGCCCCCAAGGTGATTTCAAGGTGACTTTCAAGCTACTAGAGGCAGGACTTGAACTGAAGTCGGTTCCTTACTACACCTGTTACCCCCCACAATGAAAATTCTAGGCCCAATGAACATGTGACTTGGAAGTTTAATATATTTTTTTTTTGGAGAGATCTTTTTGCTATAGGGCACGTGCGCTCACTCGACAGACAGAGAGAGACATAGAAACAGAAAGTGAGAAATCACCCCCCAGGGGGGATGGTCACACCACAATCCCTTCTCCTCCATTCTCCTCTCAGGATCTTCGTGAGTTTTAAGCCACCGGGTCCGGGACGCGAACCACGGTCGACTATGTGGGAGTCCAGTGACATAGCCATTTCGCTAACTGCTGGTTCACAGAAGTTTAATTTTTAAAAGCTGTATAAAAATTCTTAAAAAGAAGTATGTAAAAATTAAATGCCCAAGTCATATGTTCACTGGGTATTGAAAAAAAGAATGAAAACATAAAAAAGACAACCAAAACCACTCCTATAATATGCTGACTTGATGGGATCAATCTTTATATCCGGTTATATTACAACTCTAACTAGTTTTACTATATTATAAAACTATTTATTCTTTTTGGTTTTGACCATAAGTCTTTATATCACAACTAAGAATAACCTGTATAACTAAAAAAATTCGGGAGGCTTGATAATCACACTAGGCATGCACGTGCATGTGTGCCCAAAATTCCAAGAGGACAGTGGAAGAAAAGGGATCACAATGTGGTCATCCGCAGCCCACCAGAGTGGGGGTGATTTCTGATTTTCACTTTAATTGTTTCTCTGTCTCTCTCCAGTGAGCACATGCTCAAAAACATTAAAAAACACATACTTTTGTCAGTAACTGGTCCAATCACAAATAGTATAGTAGTTTTATAGTTTTCACATGCAAACTGAAATATAACTTTTTGAAAGAACTGTTTTCCATAAATATGAAAACAACCATTTTTAAAAGAAAAAAATGTGCCAGTATACTGCCAGAGTGGAGGAGGTAGCTCTAGAAACAAATTACTTTGCAAACAAAGCCACTTTGACTTGAATTTCAAGCAATTTCTGACCTTGTCCCAGATTAATACTATGCCTGTGATCACTGAAGTAGAAAAAGAAGAGTCAAGGGCAAGTGCAAATGGTAAAAGATAAAATGGAAAGAACAGTTCATGCATTTTCATAACTCATGAAATAATCCCAAAGCAAAAATAAATGCTTCTATAAAAAGTTATTTTGAGGAACCAGTGGAGGGCATAATGGTTCCATCACTGGACTTCCATGTAGGTGACCACTCGCTGGGCACATGTGCATGTATGCCCCAGATCCCAGAAGGAAAGTAGAGGAGAAGGGGCTGTGGAGTGGCCGTCTCCCCCAGGCAGTGATTTCTCACTTTTCCCTCTTGCTGTTGCTGTATCTATCTCCTATGCCCCTACCGCAAGGGAACACACATGTCGTAAGGCAAAAATAAATAAATAATAAATAAATACAAGCAAACTAGGCTATGGGCATGTACGAATTTTAATAAAATCTAAAAAGTAATTCTATAATGTGCTTTTCCAACTCAAAACTCTTTACTTTAAGGGTTGAGAAGTTTGAGGCACTGAATACTGTATAAAAGTTTTACCTGTTTGCTTTTGGAGTCCTTCCCAGCAGAATTTTTCTCATCTGTACTTCTATCCATTCCTCTCAGAACACTGATGAAATCTTTCTTGGAAACAGTTGATAACAACTTAGCACGCTTTCTCATAGAGCCTCCAGCTTCTTTAACCTTTTCATCAACATTCTTTTGATGTTTCTGAACAGCATTAAATAACTGCACCACACCCCTATAGAATATAAAATGACGCATACAATATAATTAAACATCAATTACCTGAGAATAAAAACCTTACGAGGACAGGAACAATGAATTTTCACTTCTTAGAAATAGGCAAGCACTTCATAGGCACTCACATGAAGAACTGAACAAATGTCAAGTATACCTGAGAAATGAACATACATTTCAATGAATGAATACAGAGAATAAACATGAGGACTAATATGTGATTTGTTCTATAGCTTTGGTCAAAATCAACTTTTGTGCAATGAGAATGTAAAATTACTTTTAACACACACACAGCTCCTCAGGATATAATTACAGAAGGGTGTAGGCACTGGAAGGTAATGGAAAGAGCACAGCCTGTACAGTTAATTTGTGGATCCCAATTTCATCTGTAAATCAGAAAACAATACCTGATAGCTTAAAATATATTCAGATTTATAACCCATGACTCTTCTATTATGAAAGTTTTAAATCCCACTTAAAAAACAGTTATTAAAAAATGTGTTCTGTAGTTACGTAATTCAAAGACATTACTAAAGATTAAGACCAGTGTCCAACGCAGAAGCCACAAGCCACCTATGACCAGTGAACTCTTGAATTGCTTTGTTTGACTTACCATGTGTTTTAAATGCAAAATACACACCAGGATTCAAAGACTTGATAAGAAAAGGAAATTTTAAATCTCATTAATAATACTTTCATACGATTATCTGAGTAAATGACTTTTTAATGTACTCAGTTAAGTAAGATATATTATTAAAATTAATTTCACCTCTTTCATTTTACTTTTTCAATGTGGCCATGGGAAAATTTTAATATACACAAACCATTAAGATCCCTTACAGCTGTAAGATTCTGTAATCTATGAATTATCCTGCAATAGTAACAACTGCAAGAGACAATCTGCCACAGGTCCTGAGTATCCCTGTGCATTTTTGCTGTATTTTCCAAAAATGAAAAGCACTGACTACTCTTTACTTAGGCCATTTCTTTTAAGGTCATTTTTTTTTATTTCTTTCACTAAAGTGGGAGAGACAGACAGACACACAGACAGTTCCCTTCACAGGTCTCACCACACTTGATCTTCCCTCCAACCTCTCAGCTGTCAGGAACACACTGCATGTGCAGGTCCAGCTGGTATGTTCAGGTCAACCCCCGATATGAACCTGGATGGCTCCAGGCCATCTCTCAGGGTTGTGTTTGCAGTAAGCAACTTTTAGGGATGAGGTAATGTTTCCCCTCAGACCAAGAAAAGCCTTGTTAATAATCACTATAAAAGTGACAGAATGCCAAACAGTGCTTTCCTGCAACACAACCCCCTACATGGACAGGCATCCATTTAGGGCACCTACGTGGGCCTGCAGGACAAAGGAAACCAATGGGATCATGATGCTCTAGCTACTTTTTTTTTTTTTTTGGAGAGGTTTTTACTATAGGGCATGTGCGCTCACCAGAAACACTGAGAGAGACAGAGAGACAGAAAGCGAGAAATCATCCCCCAGGGAGGATGGCCACATCACAATCCCTTCTCCTCCATTCTCTCGGGATGTTGGGCATGCATGCAAATGAGCCTGGTGTGAGTCTAAGTCCCAAGTCCGGGACTCAAACCACAGTTGACTATATGGGAGTCCAGCAACATCCATTATGCCAATTGTTGGTCCCTCTAGCTACTGTTTTTGCCATGAGTAATGAACTATTTTGTTTCTGCCCTAGACATCTCTCATGTTCTACCATCTCTCAAGAAACCTGAAAGGCTAGCTTACTCGCTTTTAAGGAGAGTAAAATTCCAGACCCTTCACAGTAGGACCAGTACAAGTGCAAGGTAAGTAAGTTGCCTGGGGTATAAAATATAAGGAGACAGTCACTTTCATGTGCCAACCCTTCACTTTTCTATGTTTTTTTATATGTATTAATTCATGGAATCCTCAGGAAAAAAACTCCATAGGCTAAATATATTATTCTCTTTATACAGAAAACTGAGACAGAAAAAATTAAGTAGCATGCCCAAGGACACAGAGCTAGTAAGAGTCAAGGCTGTGATGTGACCTTAGTAGTCTGGCCCTATCATCCATACGCTAGTCACCACACCCCAATATCTCACTGTGAAATACCTAGATAGATTAGGAAATGACCAGCATAATTTAAGGTAACTAACAATTTAAATGTAATTCTACTAAACATAATTGTGACATTACCTAATGTTACCTCCTTGGTGAAGCCTTCTCCAACTCCCATAAACAAACTCTTATGGTAAGTTCCCAACACACAGATAGACTTTGACTCTCAAAAATTGGAATTCCTACTGATGAGTGGCATGACCACCCAGCAGCTGCCATATCCTATTTATCTTTGGACATAGAAGGCATCAGATAAATGTTGTTTGGTGATGATTTAAAAAAGCAGAGTGAAAAGACAGTCTGAAGATGACATAATGTGTGACATATTATGCCATAAATATAACGCAAGATAAAAATCATCTAGTGCCATAGATTTAGAAACCATCATAAGATAAGTCTCGTAAGACATCTGATTACAATGTTCTGACTATTAAAAATGAGATGATCCTAATAGGTTCATACCAAATATACACTTAGTACATTATGGTTCTGCCTTGTGAGCCCTGTGAAGTTTTTACTTGAATTCAGTGCAGAATAGGCAGGCTTACAAATACATCACTTGACTCTGTGAAGGCAGAGCTTAAAAATCAATTCTGGTCAAAACAGATCACTATCAAAGCTTTAGTATACTTAATTTTTAAACGGTAGAAACAGTGTCTTACCTCGTTGCAATCCTCTGAAGATTTCTCTCTGTTTCTTTGTCTTTGACAACATCTGGCTTTACTCTGCACATCATTTCCCACTCCCGCTTCTTATCAAGCTGTGTTATAAATATGGTTATGTGAAAGAATATTAGACATTTTTCAAAGTGCAGCGAACTTTGATATGATACGCCATGAAAGGATTAAAGTAATAAATCATTCTGGCTTAGTTTATCATAGGGACTTTAAAAATCCCACAATTTGAGGGGTTCAGCTCAGGGAAGCTGTGGTTAGCACTCAGTATATCATGTGGGAAGCACAAAGTGAGCTTCTGTCAGGTTCTCTGACAACAGGGCCTGGAGGGCTGCCAGCATATTCAGCCAGGCTGTACAAGGTGGCTGTGAGAGAGTCACATGCCCTAGCTGCCCTCATCAGACCATCCCAGGGAGGCAAAAGCAGACTCCACACACACTACACTCTCTGCTAACGAGAAATTTAAACACTGTTAGCTTTTGGAAACCTTCTACTTTGGTGGTTAGAATTATTTATATTAGCCCTTAAAAAACAGTATCATGGGACCAGCAGGTGGTTAAGGCACTGGTCTCCCACATGGTTGATCACAGTTTAAGTTCTGGACCCGGCGGCTTGAAAATCGCACTAGGCACATATGTGCACATGCCCAAAATCCCAAGAAGAGAAGGGAGGAGACAGGACTGCAGTATGGCCATCCCCTCTAGAGAGTGATTTCTCACTCTCTCTCTCTGCCTCTCTACCCTCCAGCGAGCACAAGTGCCCTGTGATAAAAACCTAAAAAAAAAAAAAAAAAAAGAAAAAAGAAAGACAGAACAAACCAAATATCATATCCAGCTATTTATACTGTGACTATACTTTTCTGCATGAAACCATTTACCCATTTCTCCACTTGCAGTACATCTGACTACTATTCTCGTCATATGTGGGTCCCAAGCAATGGCGAACTGATGCTCGGCTACTCTACAGAAAAGGAAGGGGGCTGAGAGATTAGAAAATCCCAGATAACAGAATCTAGTACAAAATTGTCTTCAAATACTATTCTCCTAGGTACCCAATTTTAATATTGCTTTTTAAAGTCTCCTTCTCAGGCCAACATTTAACCCAATACATATATAATGAAAAAATATATATATAAAATGAACTAATCACCACGAAGTTGGTAAGCTTGTAAAGCATACAAATCAGCACCAAAAAGCAATGGAAAAATATGCCTTTTATCTTTTCCATTTTTATACTCATCTCTCATTCTGTACTAGTGAAAATGTCTGTTCACAGTGAAACCAAATTCCTACTCTCACTATAAAGATTAGCCTGATTCCTTTCTAAAGAAAGACATTCTTCCCAAATCAGATAATTCACTTTCATGGTCATGAAATTCACTACTGGATTATGGCAGAAGTATAAAAATTACACTTTTAAGATTAAAACAGTTAATTTTTAATTATTTATAGTACTCAGGATGCTTAATTAAGCATGCTTAATCCTAAAACATGTTGAACTATGAAATATATATTTTATATAGGAAATAAGTAGCTGATTAATACAACAGAAAGCCATAATGCTAATATTAAGAAATAATGATCATTTCTAAGTGCCTCCTCAGATAACAGGAGACTCTTCAGTTTGTGGAAAATGAGTATTATGAAAAAATCATGTATGAATTTCAATACTTTTTGTACCAAGATAACTTGTACTTTAATTCTGTTTTCCATAAACTTTTGAAGTCCTCCCATATCTACAAAGAATGTTTGTAGCTGCCGTGCCATGTCCCTGGTACCAATACTTGTGCTTTCATGCTTTGTGTGCAACTCTAGGTCCCAAAGCTCTGGCTACAGCACAGTTAGAAACTCACTCTTCTTGGATTCAAATGGTCAACCCTCACTGGAACTTTAAGACAAAATTTATCTCAAATAAAGTATAACGAGAATACTGAATTACTAGAAGAGTACAGAGTGCTTCTAAGAGCAATGCTTGAAAACTTCCATCTTTACACAGCCTTTTGCAAAGTAACGTATTAACACAGAAAACATTCGTAACAAGACAAGGGGACTTTGGTGAACACTATGGAAATACACGCCATTTCAAACCTTTTTCCTTTTTTACCTGTAAAATACCTTTCAGAAATTAGTATTGCTTTACTGTAGGTATGATTATAAAAAGTTCTTTTCCTTTCATTAGCAAATAACATATATTTTAGTAACCAAATATTTTAGACACAGAGATACAAGTACAAGGGATACTTGTTATTTTTATAATACAAATAAACTTATATCTAACTTTTGGCCTTTAATAGATTATACTAGTCTAATTTCTATCATCAGTGGTTTGATAAAAGCATTTTCAAGTTTATCAACAGTGAAATAATCAGTTTTCAGAAATAAACCAACCCCTGACTTGCGACCTGAGAGTTCTATTATAAAATAGATTTTTAACAAAAATATTACTAACATGCTTCTATTAATTTAAAACCTAATAGAGCCAGCATTAAAAATTCCTAAAATGAATAAAATGTTTAGAATTAGGAGTCGTCATTACATATTTAATTACTTGACTTTAAAAAGATAAATTTCCTCCAGTGTATGTTCCTATTACTTTGCTTAAATGATTAACAAGTGAACATACTCAATGGCATAATTCAGACTAAGTTTCTTTGTTATCCACCCTCACATAAAAGGCAAGTTAAAAACTGGAATGTTAATCAGAAAACACTGAGAGGAACTATTTGGTACAAATTAAAACAGACTAAACAAACAAATTCACAAGACAACTGGTAGGCCATACCTGTTTTCTTTTCTCTAGTCTTTCTTGCTTCAACTTTTCTTTTTCCTTTTCCAGCTCTTTGTTTTTGACCAGAATGGTGGGTTTGCTTTTAGGAGTTTTTTTGTTAAGGATTTTGGCCATGGCATCTGCCCAGCCTACATTAGTCCCACCACTTGATTCTGCAGCATTTTCATTTTCTTTGTCAAAGGGTTCAGCATCATCTTCACTGTCAGCTTCTATTGCTCCATCATCAGAAGAAAAGCAATCCTTCTCCAATTTACAGCTTCCTGCAAAACCTAAGCGTAAAAACAAATTAAACTTTTGCATCCTAGACGGAGGTTGCCAAAGTCATGGTCCAGCCTTTGGGACCCTTCATGAAGGTCCACATGTCTCCATTCTTGAAAGAGAGGACTCTTCTGAGTCCGAAAGCTACAGCAACAGTGAAGATCAGTGGGACCATCTATCCTATAGCCATAAGCCTCCAAAACTTAATCCAGCCATATTAATGAGGGAATCTGCAGTGCCTTCTATACCCAGGACTCGGGCAGCAGAAACAAATCCAACACATTTCTGTCATCAAGGCAGTGACAGATGCTGAGCTGGAGACAGCACAGGATATGTTCAATATATGGACCTTAACTTCATCATTAAAACATACAAAGAAACTAATGGGACTATATTAAAAACAAATTTAAAAACATTTTTGAAAAAAATACTAACAGTGTGCCCAAGATAACAAAGAATCATCTGCACTGCTGGGTGACTGATTAAAATACTAAGTTCTGAGTCAAAGATACAAATTTATAAGTGTACTGATAAAACTTTATCACACAGAACCACCATAAAAACACACAAATTCATTCATTCCATAAAAATTCAAATGACTGGTGTCAAGAGGATTGGCAGAAATAAGTCTAGTTGGTGGCTTTGCTTAAAACTCAACTTGCTCTCCATGAAGTTCTGAAGAGAGTGCTATCCCAAGAAAATTAAAGTCAGGCACACAGACCTAAGAGTTCTAAAACAGCTAAGAAAATGGCAGCTTAATGGTAGGGATAAGTCCAGACTTGAACATTATCTTCCAGAATTTAAACAGAAAGATCAGACTATAATAGAAGATGAGGTACATGAGTTTGAACTGGTGAAGTAGAATTGTATGAGTTTTGACTAAAACATTTCTGACCTTCTATGCTTTGTTTTCCAGTGTTAAGGAGATCTGTCTTCTCTGAAGTTGTGGACAGGTCCATATACCCACTATTCGAACAGAATCCTAACCTGTTTCCTGGCTTTAAGTATTAAACAAAGTTCTCTTAACATTTTTGGTTTTGATTTATTAAAGCTAAAACTGCCTTCCTTGAAATTAATATATATATATATGTATATATATACACACACACACACACACACACACACCTATTTAGGAACTACAGTAAGCTTATATAGCCTCAACCATGTGCTATTTTATAGTATATTCATTCTACCCACAGAGTTTCATGTCTAAAGTCAACTTCTGTTCACAGATATGTATATATCAGCTGAACTTACTATTGAAAATATTTAGATTAATTAAGATATTTTGTGAATCAATACAATGTGGGAAAAAAATAAAGGAATGGAAAGCAACTGTAGATACCAGAGACAGGGTGGAAGGAGGATGGGAAATGGCACAGGGTGAGAAATCGGGGGGTGGGGATATCTATCTATCTATCTCTCTATCTATATATATATATATACACACACACACACATATATAGATATTGTGTGTATAAATGTATATATCTATTAAACAAGAAATATAAAATTATTTGTTGATGATAACATGTATGATTAAGCCACTTTACAGTGTATTGTGGCTGGAAAATTGCATTTGGAATGCTGTGGTGATGTTCAGTGAAAGTATGTAAAATAAATAAAGAAAAAAGAAAAAAGAAATAGTGGCATGGTGATTAAGACACTGGACTCCCACATGGCTGACCATGGTTCGAGTCCCAGATCTGGTGGCTAGCTTTCTCACTTTCCCTCTCTCTCTCTCTCTGTTTCTCTCTAGTCAAATTAAAAATAAAAAAAAAAGGTTTTTTTAAAAAAAGCAAATGAAAACACACATACAAAAATTAATCTTAATGAGTAAAAGTAAAATAAGTTCAAAAAATTAACTGAATATTACATAAATTAGATTTAAACATTGAAAAGAAAAAATTTTATATTTTTAAAAACCATGATCTTAAAACATAAAGTGTGAAGGTCTTAAAAAATTTTTAAAGATAATGTTAAGGGTAAGAAATCACTTATATTTCTATCATCCTAATAAAGTTGTGTATTTCTTTCTTTTCTAAAAAAATTATTTTGTTTAACTTTGTTATTTATTTCAATTTGATCCGAAAGGTACAGAATGAAAGAGAAAGCAAAAAAGCTGCCAGGTCTGGGCCATGTGGGAGTCCAGTGCCCCTAATCAAAATGCCACCTGCTGGCCCAAAACTGTGTATTTTTTTTAATAATTATTAAATTTTATTTATTCATTCATTTATTTTAATTTGACCAGAGATAGACACAAAGAGCGAGAAAGAAGGAAAGTAAGAAAGCAAGCCACCAGGTCCAGAACTCGAACCTTGGTGGGCCATGTGAAAGTGTCCAGCGCCTTAGCCACTATGCCACCTGCTGGTCCCAGTGTACTAATCTGTGTGCTTCTTAATAAAGAGAAAAAAAAATTAAATAGAAAATAATTTGCCACATATTTAATTAGAAGTATTTTCTGTATCCTGTATGCTAGTCAATTTAAGAAGCCTAAGGACATATAACTCTAGCTTTGACATACGAATATAGGTGATACATAAAAAATATATTATTGCCCACTCACTATATATATATATACACACACACACACACACACACACACACACACAATTTTGTTTTTTTGAAGAGGTTTTCGCTATAGGGCACGTGCGCTCACCAGACAGACAGAGAGACAGAGAGACAGAAAGCGAGAAATCACCCCCCGGGGGGATGGTCACGCCGCAATCCCTTCTCCTCCATTCTCCTCTTGGGATCTTGGGCACGCAAGCACACCCGCCTGGCGTGAGTTTTAAGCCACCGGGTCTGGGACACGAACCGCGGCCAACTACGTGGGAGTCCAGTGACATAGCCATTACGCTAACTGCTGGTTCCCCACACACATACATATTTTAAAAGGCATTTATACTTTGCCATACAAAAGCTGGTAGCAATATTAATCATTTTGATGAAAACCTGAGTATCTACTGTATGATATCAGATTCCAGGGCCACACAATTTTTTCCTAAGAAGCATATCCTAGGACTAGTGTTTCCTGAAAGCACAATGAGAAACAAACTTGGGAGAATGTAGTTAGCTGGGAAATAAATATATTAATAATACACATGTAGCACTACACAGTGCTAATAACGAAATAAACAATTCTGAGAAAAAGTGTTTCCTCGAGTAACATTCTCCCATTCCAAGAATTGCTGATTCACTCTAATTGTTTCTTCTGCTGAGTAAATTTTTAAGCTAGGTACTATGTAAAACACCAGCTGGTGGTGTGGTGGTTAAGGCAGCTAGATTCTTTGTGGCTAACCACACAGTTTGAGTCCTGGACTCAGCAGCTTAAAAAACACTCTGTATACATGTACATGTGTGCCCAAAATCTTGATACAAGAATGGAATAGAAAGGACTGAGGCATGGCAATCCCCCCTGGGGGATGCTTTCTCAATTTCTCTTTCTCTGTTTCTCTCTCCAACATTTCTGGCAAGTGTATAAACCCTATAGCAAATTTAAAAAACACTTTTTAGGGAACCAGCAGTTAGCGTCATGGCTATGTCACTGGACTCCCACGTAGTCGACCGCGGTTCGCGTCCCAGACCTGGTGGCTTAAAACTCACGCCGAGCGCGTGTGTGTGCATGCCCAAGATCCCGAGAGGAGAATGGATTGCAGCGTGACCATCCCCCCGGGGGGTGATTTCTCGCTTTCTGTCTCTATGTCTCTCTCTGTCTGTCTGGCGAGCGCACACGCCCTATAGCGGAAAAAAAAAAAAAACTCTCCAAAAAAAAATTAAAATAAAAAACACTTTTTATACATTCTCATTTCAAAACACTTCTATTAGTTGCTTTTATTATTCTACTTCATAGGTTTTAATCCTGAAGCTCATGAATGTGAAAAATATACCCAAAGTCACAAAGCTGATGGGATAAATGATGATGCCACTGGACTTCTGAGACACTACAAAGCTTTGAAAATCAGATTCAATTCAGACTAATGTGTAGTGAACTACTGTGGCAGATAGTCACTGCATATTTTAAAACATAGTTTAATAAAGCTTGCATTAAAAGGGAATTCTAAGCTTCAGTTAACCAGAACAGTCTATGTTCGCATCCTTATTCTGATTTTACCTAACCATGCATTGATCCCCCGAGTTATTAAAAGTTCCATGAAACAATTGCTCTGCATTCAGATGTAAAATATCTATTCTGCCCTTGCCTCGTAGTCTTTCCTATCAATTATTGCTAAATTTAAAACATTCACAATTAATGCTATATAGTCTTTTAAAAAGCTCTTTTCTTTGGGAAGAAACATGAAGTCACCCCAGGATTCATAAATAAAAGCAAAAATAAAATGTAAGTGCTACCACGGGACAACACTGTCAGATGTGATTACACGTGCTTTCTGGGCAAGTCAAAGCAGATAGAGTCTGCAAGTAGTCTGTTTCCTGAGTCCGTCCTATAAATTGCTAAACCACTCAAGTAGGACTATGATATACTTCATTTCCTAGGCATGTTCCTTCGCTATTTTAAGTAACTTAAATGATGAAGGAGGCCATAAGCTACAGTTTGATGAAAAGCACATTTATCTGCAAGATTATTTTATCTTAAATACAGCTTTGTAGTTTATCAAAAATGAAGGCTTATCTCCTAGGGCCTTCTAACCTGGATTGTTATCAAGTTCTGTGTTAAGTGCAGATAGCCATTTTTCATGTATGTGACCAGAACAATTCAGGCTTTTCTAACTGTTCAGAAAACCTGAAATTGTTGGGAACCAGCAGTTAGCGTAATGGCTATGTTGCTGGACTCCCACCTAGTCGACTGTGGTTCACGTCCTGGACCTGGTGGTTTAGAACTCACGCCGGGCGTGTGTGTGTGTGTGTGCCCAAGATCCCGAGAGGAGAATGGAGGAGAAGGGATTGTGGCGTGACCACCCCCCTAGGGGGTGATTTCTCGCTTTCTGTCTCTATGTCTCTGTCTGTCTGTCTGGCAAGCGCACGTGCCCTATAGCAAAAAAAACCCTCTCCC